GGGTCTCAAATAACCAGACTAAGGGACTCACAAACCAGACTGAGGGACTCCAACAACCAGGACTGATGCGACTCCAATTCACCTGGGGGGACTGAGGGACTCACAACACTAGACTGAGAGACTCACAATCACAGATTGAGGGTTCTCAACCATTGATGAGGGACTAAGATCACCATACTGAGGGATCAAATCACCAGACTATGGGACTCACAAACACCAACTGAGGGACTTACAACACCAGGACTGTGGGACTCAATATCACCAAGACTGAGGGCTCACAACACTTGGACTGAGGGACTCAGATCACCATACTGAGGGAATCAACAATCACCAGACTAAGGGACTCACAATACACCCTACTGAGGGACTCACAAACCCAGGACTGAGGGAATTCTCAACACTAGACTGGAGGACTCACAAACACTGACTGAGGGACTCACACACCAGACTTAGAGACTCACAACCCTAGACTCTGGGGACTCAGATCACCAGACTGAGGGACTCAAAATCACCAGACTGACGGGACTTCACAACTCAGACTGGAGGAATAACTTACTCAGTTGTGGGATTCACAACACTAGACTGAGGGACTCAGATCACCAACGCCAGACTGAGGGACTCAAATCACCAGACTGAGGGACTCACAACACCAGACTGAGGGACTCACAACACCAGACTGAGGGACTCACAACACTAGACTGAGGGACTCACTACACAGACTGAGGACTCAATATCACAGACTGAGGGGACTCTCAACTACTAGGACTGAGGGACTCACAACACCAGACTGAGAGACTCACAACCCTAGACTGAGGGACTCAGATCACCAGACTGAGGGAACTCAAATCGCCTGAATTGAGGGACTCACAATCACCAGACTTGAGGGAACTCACAAATCTAGACATGAGGCAATCATAATCACCAGACTGTGGGATCACAAACCAGACTGGGGCTCAAATCCCCAGAATGAGGGGCTCACAACACTAGGAAGAGGGACTCACAACACTCAGACCTGTGGGACTCACAAAACGTAGAATGAGGGTCTTCACACCCAGGACTGATGGGAATCACATAACCAGTACTGAGGGACTCACAACACCAGACTGAGGACCCACAACACCAGACTTGAGGGACTCACAATGCCAGACTGAGGGATCAAATCACAATACTGAGGGACTCACAAACAATAGCTGAGGGATCACAACACCCACGACTGAACGACTCAAATCACCATACTGAGGACTCACAAACACTAGACAGACTGAGGGACTCACAACACCAGGACTATGGGACTCAAACACTAGGACTGAGGGACTAACAACAACAAGATTAGGGAACTCAAAACACCACGACTGAGGGACTCACAATACACCAGAAGAGGGACTCACAACACCAGACTGAGGGGGACTCACAACCTGGACTGAGGGACTCACTACACAAGGACTGAGGGGACTCTCAATAACCAGGGGGGGGGGGGGGGGGGGGGGTGGACTTGGGTAGGGGGACTCACGACACCAGTCTGAGGGACTCACTACACTAGACTGAGGGACTCACAACACCAGACTGAGAGTCTCACAATACGACTGAGGGGACTCAAAAACATTAGACTGATGGGACTCCATCACCAGAATGACACAAAAACAACAGACTGAGGGACTCACTACACCAGACTGAGGGAACTCACACACCAGACTGTGGGACTCCAAATCACAGAGGGACTCACAAACACTAGAATGAGGGGACTCACAACACCAGACTGAGGGACTCACAAGACTAGACTGAGGGACTCACAACATCAGACTGAGGGACTCAGATCACCAGACTGAGGGACTCAAATCACCAGACTGAGGGACTCACAACACTAGACTGAGGGACTTACAACACCAGACTGAGGGACTCAAATCACCAGAGGGACTCACAACACTAGACTGAGGGACTCACAACACCAGACTGAGGGACTCACAACACTAGACTGAGGGACTCACAACACTAGACTGAGGGACTCAAATCACCAGAGGGACTCACAACACTAGGTCTGAGGAACTCACAAACACCAGGGACTGAGGGACTCTCAACACTAGGACTGAGGGGACTCACAACCAACTAGGGGGGAATGAGGGACGCAGATCACCAGACTGAGGGACTCACAACACCAGACTGAGGGACTCATAACACCAGACTGAGGGACTCACAACACTAGACTGAGGGACTCAGATCACCAGACTGAGGGACTCAAATCACCAGACTGAGGGACTCACAACAATGTAAGACTGAGGGACCTCACAAAACACCAGATGAGGGACTCAAATCACAGGACTGAGGGACTCACAACACCAGACTGAGGGACTTATAACAACAGCTGAGGAATCACAACACTAGATGAGGGACTCAGATCACCAGACTGAGGACTAATTCACCAGGATGAGGTCTCAAAACCAACAAGATGAGGGACTCATATCACCGGAGAGGGACTCAATAAACTAGACTGAGGGAATCCCAACACCAGAATGAGGTCTCAATTCACCATGAGGGAATCTCAAACACTAGACTGGAGGGACTCACAACACATAGACCCTGAGGGACTAAAACACTAGGACTGAGGGACTCACAACACCAGACTGAGAGAACTCAAATACCAGACTGAGGGACTCAAAACACCAGACTGGAGGACTCAATAACACAGACTGAGGGACTCACACACTAGACTGAGGGATTCACTACACTAGACTGAGGGTCTCAGACCACCAGACTGAGGGGACTCAAATCACCAGACTGAGGGACTCAGATCAACAGACTGAGGGAATCTCAACACTTAGACTGAGGACTCACAACACCAGAATGAGGGACTCAAATCACCCGACCTGAGGGGACTGGATCACAGAATGTCCAGGGAACTCACAACTCTAGACTGAGGGACTCACTACACCAGATGAGGGACTCCAAATCACCAGATGAGGGGATCACAACAATAGGGACTGAGGGACTACATCACTAGTCTGGGGACTCAGATCACCAGATTGAGGGGACTCAATCACAGAACTGAGGGGACTCACAACACCAGATGAGGGACGCACAACACCAGACTGAGTGACTCAACTACACTAGACTGTGGGTACTCAGATGACTAGATTGAGGGACTTCCATATCACCAAGACTGAGGGACTCACAACACCAGTCTGAGGGATACAACACCAGGACTGAGGGACTCACAACCCTAGAATGAGGGACTCACAATTCAACACAGGACTGGGGATCAAATCACCAGACTGATGGACTCACAAACACTAGACTGAGGGACTCACAAACACCAGACTTAGTGACTCCACAACCCTAGACTGAGGGAATCTCAGATCACCAGTACTGAGGGGACTAAAATCACCAGACTGAGGGACTCAACAACATCAGGACAGAGGGGACTCACAACACCAGTCTGAGGGTATTACTCCTCTCACCTCTAGACTGAGGAATCAGGATCTCCTGACTGAGGGATCAAATTCCCAGACTGAGGGACTCAAAACACCTGACTTGATTGACTCAAAACACCAGACTGAGGGACGCACAACACTAGACTGAGGGAATCACATACGCCAGACTGAGGATCAAATCACCAGATGAGGGACTCACAACACTAGACTGAGGGACTACACAAACACCAGACTGAGAGACTCACACCCTAGACTTAGGGACATCAGATCACCAGACTGAGGGATCAAATCACCAGTCTGAGGGACTCACACACTCAGAATGATGGACTCACAACACCAGACTGAGGGACTCACAACAATTGGACTGAGGGTCTCATATCACCAGACTGTGGTGGGACTCACAACACCAGACTGAGGGGTCTCACAAAACACCAGTCTGAGGATAATTCACCAGACTGAGGGGGCTCACAACTCTAGACTGAGGGACTCACAACCACCAGAATGAGGGACTCACAACACTAGGACTGTTGGGATTCACAACACCAGACTGAGGGGCTCACAACACCAGACTGAGTGGACTCACAACTCTTGACTGAGGGAGTCACTAAAAACCAGACTGAGGGAACTCAAAAACATTAGACTGGGGACTCACGAGACCAGATTGAGGGACTCACAAAACAGAATGAGGGACTCAAAACACCAGATCTGAGGGGACTCATCAACACTAGACTGAGGGGTCACAAAACCAGGACTGAGGAGGACTAACAAAACCAGACTTAGGGAACCTCACAACACAGAATGGAGGGACTCAAAACACTAGATGAGGGATCACAACCCAGGATGATGGGACTCCTCAACACCCAGACTGAGGGATCAAAACACTAGTACTGAGGGGCTCAACCACCAGAATGAGGGGACTCACAACACCAGACATGTGGGACTCACAAAAACACTCGAATGAGGGTTCAACAAACAGACTGAGGGACTCACACACCAGAATGAGGGACTCACATCACTAGACTAAGGGACTCATCAACACAAGACTGAGGGACTCACAACACACAGACTGAGCGGGAACTCCCCACATTACTAGACTGAGGGACTCACAACACCAGACTGAGGGACTCACAACACCAGACTGAGGGACTCACAACACTAGACTGAGGGGCTCAACACCAGACTGAGGGACTCACAACACCAGACTGAGGGACTCACAACACCAGACTGAGGGACTCACAACACTAGACTGAGGGGCTCAACACCAGACTGAGGGACTCACAACACCAGACTGAGGGACTCACAACACCAGACTGAGGGACTCACAACACTGACTGAGGGGCTCAAACACCAGACTGAGGGACTCACAAACACCTAGGAACCTGAGGGTCTCACAACACCCAGGACTGTGGGAACTCTCAACACTAGACTGAGGGAACTCACAACACTAGACTGAGGGACTCAACACTTGACGGAGGTGCTCTAACACCAGGACCTGAGGGGACTCAAAACACCAGACTGAGGGACTCACAACACCAGACTGAGGGACTCACAACAGACTGTTGTTCCAACATTTACCTTGGCAAGTTGTTGTTCCATGTGGTTTATTTGTTCCCTCTTTTTGTTCAGGCGAGCATCTAGTTCCACTAACGTCTTCTCCTTCTCATCCAGTTGCTTGGTCCGTTGTTCCAGTGTGTGTACCTTCTGTTCTTCAATCTGGCGGGGACACATGTATCATGGTTTGCAGTGACTTATCCCATTAATGTAGAATGCTGAACAGGTTTAGTTCCCATCATGTAGGTTGGTTTAACTCTCTTGTTCAAATCATTGTAGGATGGTTTTTAACTTGTCTTGTCTATCATTTAGGATGGTTTAACTGTCATATTCTATCTTACTGGATGGTTTAACTCTCATTTTCTATTATATAGGATGATTTAACTGTCATGCTATATCATACTAGATGGTTTAACTGCCATATTCTATCATAATGGATGGTTTAACTGTCATAACATATCATACAGAATGGTTTAACTGTCATATTTTATCATATAGTTTGGTTTAATTGTTTTGTGTCATTATACTGGATGTTTTATCTATCTTGTTCCATCATATAGGATGGTTTAACTGCTTTGTTCCATCAACAGTACCTCACACACAGCAGTACCTCACACACAACAGTACCACACACACAACAGCACCTCACACACACAACAGCACCTCACACACACAACAGCACCTCACACACACAACAGCACCTCACACACACAACAGCACCTCACACACACAACAGTATCTCACGCACACAACAGTACCTCACGCACACAACAGTACCTCACAACAGTACCTCACACACACAACATTACCTCACAAGCAACAGTACCTTCATCTGATCTTCCAGTTGCCTTCTAATCGCTTGTGAGTCGTTGCCAGCCCTTCCGCCGTTCTGGAGCTTCTGATTGGCCTCGTGCAAGTCCAGCTGTTTGGGTTAAATACTTTCTTACATACGGTGCAATACTCGCAACCGAGCAATAGGAGATACAAAACAAGCACAGTGTTGATTGACAACTCAAGGTCTTTCTCAAGAGCTATGCAACAGTGGAACAGAAACTGAAATCACGTCAGGTAGAATACACAAAGTCACAGTGTGACTTTGTAAATGGTTCAAGTCAGATCGAAACGTCAGCTCCTCTCTCCAATGTGCGGGTTATTTGTGTATTGTTCCAGTCACTGTATCGTTATTCTTCCCACACAGGAGGAGATCCACTATAAATCTTGCAGTCTCACCTAGCAACCTCTTTCGCATTATCCCTCACCACCTTTGCTCATTCCTCCATTCACACGCCTCTTCCTGCACTGCAGACCTTTGCTCATTCCTCCATTCACACGCCTCTTCCTGCACTGCAGACCTTTGCTCATTCCTCCATTCACACGCCTCTTCCCGCACTGCAGACCTTTGCTCATTCCTCCATTCACACGCCTCTTCCCGCACTGCAGACCTTTGCTCATTCCTCCATTCACACGCCTCTTCCCGCACTGCAGACCTTTGCTCATTCCTCCATTCACACGCCTCTTCCCGCACTGCAGACCTTTGCTCATTCCTCCATTCACACGCCTCTTCCCGCACTGCAGACCTTTGCTCATTCCTCCATTCACACGCCTCTTCCCGCAGTGCAGACCTTTGCTCATTCCTCCATTCACACGCCTCTTCCCGCAGTGCAGACCTTTGCTCATTCCTCCATTCACACGCCTCTTCCCGCAGTGCAGACCTTTGCTCATTCCTCCATTCACACGCCTCTTCCCGCACTGCAGGGACAGAGGTGTGAAAGAGGAAAAGTAAAATCATGGTGCAAAATAAAGAAATCTAGTGGATTCACACCCACCCAGTCCATGATTTGTTTTCATTTATATTATTATTTCATAAGGCATCTTCCAATTCTCGAAATCTGACTCACTGTCAGATGTCAGAGGTTGAAGAAAGTGTGAGTTATATCGTACTTAATACCTACCAGTTACTCATAAGTTACTCATATTGTGCTGAGGATCGCTCAACCACTTTCTCATTACGTCAAAATTAGGATGTCTAAATTTCATTGTTTTAAATAGCACTAAATTGTAATACAGTGGACCCCCGCATAACGATCACCTCCGAATGCGACCAATTATGTAAGTGTATTTATGTAAGTGCGTTTGTACGTGTATGTTTGGGGGTCCGAAATGGACTAATCTACTTCACAATATTCCTTATGGGAACAAATTCGGTCAGTACTGGCACCTGAACATACTTCTGGAGTGAAAAAACATCGTTAACCGGGGGTCCACTGTATATTATATTATAAATTATTTTCAACTGTTCTATTGTAATACTGTAATCTTTATAAATTAATTCAAAATTGTAATTATTCTCTACTAAATATATCAAAGCCATGTAGCATTACCTAATAGAATATTCAATTCTCTTGTACTTACTGGGGGGCTCTGGTGGCCTGGTTGTTAACGCTCTGGCTTCACACGGTGAGGGCCTGGGTTAGATTCCCAGCCAGAGTAGAAATATTGGACGTGTTTCTTTCCACCTGTTGTCTATGTTCCCCATCAGTAAAATGGGTACCTGGGTGTTAGTGGACTGGTGTGGGTCGCATCCTGGGACACTGACCTAATTTGCCCGACATGCTCAGCATAACAAGGGGCTTTCTATGTAGTAGTATGTCATTGTTGTCAGCTAGGACTGTATACCTTGTACATGTACTTGTAGTAAATAAATAATTATTATTATTATTATTATTATTATTATTATTATTATTATAATTATTGACAAGTGTTCATTATATTTTAGTTATCCACAAAAATGTATCATTATTAATATGTTAAGAATCAGGATAGGCCTATGGAGTCTCCACATATTTTATGAGGAGCCGATAACTCATCACCATCTTGTGTGTAGCATTATCTTGCTCTAATTCTGGGAATTTCCTCGTGGAGTTGCCTCATATATTAAACACAGTTAACAAATACTACTTGCTAATTATATAGAACCAACAAGTTTTATATTTCTTAAAAATAGTTTATATTCCAAGAACGTTTATGAAATAACTTATTCAGAGTTATGGAATGTCCCAGTTCTTACTTGACAGGTTGTGGGAAAAGACTGGACAAATATGTGGGTGGAAATCATTGATAAGATAAGATAGGATAAGATTTCGTTTGGATTTTGAACCCCGGAGGGTTAGCCACCCAGGATAACCCAAGAAAGTCAGTGCGTCATCGAGGACTGTCTAACTTATTTCCATTGGGGTCCTTAATCTTGTCCCCCCAGGATGCGACCCACACCAGTCAACTAACACCCAGGTACCTATTTGCTGCTAGGTGAACAGGACAATAGTGTGAGGAAACGTGTCGAAATGTTTCCACCCGCCGGGAATCGAACCCGGGCCCTCCGTGTGTGAAGCGGGAGCTTTAGCCGCCAGGCCACCGGGCCTGAGAACTTTCCTAGCATGGGACAGTAGGCCTTCTGCAGTGTTCCTCTCTTAAGAAAAGATTTCGTTTAGATTTTTAACCTCAGAGGGTTAGTCACTCAGGATAACCCAAGAAAGACTGCGTCTCATGTATACTTCACTAAGTTTGTTGATTTGGCATCGCTGGAAGGGCCGCAAGTCCAAAAATACCCCATTGCATTAGCAAATGCAATTGTTATCTAGGCAAAGAGAATGAGTTTAAAGGAAAATGAGATGTAAGGAAAGTTCCTGAGAAAATTTCCCAAAGATAATTTCCCAAGGAAATTTTCAGTACTTACGTAAAATAATAAGATGTTACAAGGACCCTAATGGAAATAAGTCCTTTCATCTGACTTTTTTGGGCTATCCTGTTGGGTACATAACACATATGTTACTGTGTATGATAACTGTACTTAGGGGTACTTATGAATGATAGAGATGAGTTATTTACGGTGTCCCGTAGCTTGATCGCTAGCGCACTCAGCTCACACACTGAGGTCTGGAGTTTGAATCTCCAGCATGACTGGAAAACATTAAGACGTGTTTCCACAAGACACCTGCTGTCCATGTTCACCCATCAGTATAAAATGGGTACCTGGGTGCTAGTGGACTGGTGTGGGCCACATCCTATTACTGGTTCCTGATAAAATGTGTGGAGGTTCCATAGACCTATCTTAATTCTCAACATATCAATAATGATATATTCTTGCATTATTACCACAGCCACATCACTTATGGTCTGGCTGCGTCTTCCTGCTGCTTCTTAATAATAATAATAATAATAATAATAATAATAATAATAATAATAATAATAATAATAATAATAATAATAATAATAATAATGATAATAATAATCTATATTTCTACAAGTACACACTATAACTTTCTTCAACCTCTGACATCTGACAGTCAGTCAGACCGGGAGGACTTGAGGTGGATGATTTACAGAATCACAATAGCACCACTGCAAGTAAATCATGGAACGGGTGGATTTTGAACCCAGCCATTCCGTGATTTAAGGTGGATCTCTTACTCTGTGAGGGGAGTCTCCACAGTCACAACTGCCTGACTTGATGTCCATTTTCATTCAACTGTTACATAGCTTTTAACCCTTCAACTGTCCAAACGTAGATCTACGTTTTCACGCGTAGCACTCCGACTTTGATTTTTTCCATAAGAAAGCATCTAAAAAAAAAAATAGATCTACATTCGGAGCATTACGCGAGCAAACGTAGATCTACGTTTTCGCGCGTAGCACTCCGACCTTGATTTTTTCCATAAGAAAGCATCTAAAAAAAAAAAAATAGATCTACATTCGGAGCATTACGCGAGCAAACGTAGATCTACGTTTGGACAGTTTAAGGGTTAATACAGTGTTGATTGAAAAACAGTACATCTTGAGTTGCCATTCAATCATTCAACTCCCCATCCCTGTGTTTGTTGTGCAAACAAAACAAACAAAACATCCACTGTCAAAAATAATGAGATTCTAAGCACTTCGTGATTTCTCACATTATCAAGGACCCATGACAATCCCCTTGATAATGTGAAAAACCATTAAAGTGTTTGGAAGTTCACTATTTTTTTTCACAGGGGTTGATTTGCATATTATAATGCCACCTGTTTATTCTGATCTTATCATATACATACAGACTATATATAAAGGTCGGCCATCACTAATCCGGCAATCGGTTAACCAGTTCCATCAGTAATCCAGCACTAATTTCGGCTAATATAATTTCAAATTTTATCAATATACTGACTCAGAAATTATAAGATGGTTGTAAATCCACAGCAACAAGCCAATGGAGGAGAAAGCAGTGATGAAAATGAGGAAGATGTTGCAGAAAGAGTCTCTACTTATAGGTTAATTAAGTGTATTCTAACCTAACCACTCTGTAATCAGGCAAACTCACTAATCCGGCACTCTACAGGTCCCAATAATGCCGGATTAGTGATGGCAGACCTGTATATACACACACACACATATATATATACATATATTATATATATAATATATATATATATATATATATATATATATATATATATATATATATAATATATATATTATATTATATATATATTCTGGGTAGTAGGTTGGTAGACAGCAACCACCCAGGGAGGTACTACTGTCCTGCCAAGTGAGTGTAAAACGGAAGCCTGTAATTGTTTTACATGATGGTAGGATTGCTGGTGTCCATTTTTCTGTCTCATAAACATGCAAGATTTCAGGTACGTCTTGCTGCTTCTACTTACACTTAGGTCACACTACACATGCATGTACAAGCATATGTATGTATATATACACATCCCTCTGGGTTTTCTTCTATTTTCTTTCTAGTTCTTGTTCTTGTTTATTTCCTCTTATCTCCATAGGGAAGTAGAACAGAATTCTTCCTCCGTAAGCCATGCGTGTTGTAAGAGGCGACTAAAATGCCGGGAGCAAGGGGCTAGTAATCCCTTTTCCCGTATAAATTACTAAATT